GAGTAAATTTATTATATATCATAATAATAAGTGTCTGTTTACACTTAAAAACTTATACTTATATTGAAAATTTGGAAGAGATAAAATTCAAAATAGAAATATCCATAAACTAGAAAGAATACAATTAATATTTTATTTTTAAAAGGTTGTATGGGTTAAATGAATGGTAAAGAAACAATTTTATCAAGAACATAAACTAAAGGATACAATTAATATTTTTTTTATTAAAAAAGCTTGTATGGATTAAAGGAACCGTAGAGAAACAATTTAATATGAAAACATGTTAACATTGGTAACTGACTCATTAACTCCTGTGAGTGGTGACTTGTAACCACCCATCTCGGAATTTATGAAACGAAATGGTATTTTCATAATTTTCACTTTGGGCTAGATATTTTGAAATACGTTTGCTTTTGGGTCTTGTTTGGTGTGCCCAATGGGCCCACCTTTGGTTTTTGTCCCCCCAGCCCAAAGCAACTCAGCTCTCTCATTCTCTCCTTCACTTTTCTCTTTTTCTCTGATTCCCCCAATTCTCTCTCTCTCTCAGCTCACTCTCTTCATCTCTCTCCCTCGCTGCATCCCTTTTCCCCGAGCACCACACACCAACAACGACACCACAAACCACCAACCCTCCTCGATGAGCCTTTCGACCTCTTGACGTGGGAAGGAAACCAAACCCAGGTTCCCCGCGTGAGCTGTGGGTTTCAGACGACTTCCTGGCCAACTCCGGCCACCACTTGGGAAACAAAAGGTAAAACCCTAATCTACTCTTGGTGGTCTTCATTTTGGTGGGTATATCGCATGTTAGTGTGGAGAATCGGAGTTGAATGAAGCTCTAGAAGCTCGGGCTTCCTTCTCCGTCTAGTTTGGCCAACTCGACCCGAAAATGGGTCAAACCCAGACCCAACTAAATCAGCCCAGGTTTTTTAGCCATGGACTTCGGCCTACTAAACCCAGCCCAAGTCTAATAGCCATAAAGCCCAAAACCAAGGCATTCGGCCTTATTTGAACTCAAACCTAAACCTAGGCCCAACCTTGAGGCCCAACTCAGATAACCCAAGCCCAACCCAAATGGAACCAAACTCGACCAGGATCCAGCCTAGACCCAGTCGGATCCTAGAGCCATGGCCAGTGCGTGGGTGGCGCGTGGGGGTACCTGAGGTCCCTCATATGTTTTTTCGACGTTTTGAATCCATTTATTATGTCCGCTTTTCGAAATTGAATCGTTATGGTAGAGTTTTATTAATTGGACCCTTTATGTGCTTAGGTACGATTAATAGCGGTGTTTCTGTCCCTCACATTTCACACAGCTCTTCAACGATGGAGTATATGTGAGTGGACCCCTTCCAAAATGAATAATTTTGCTATTAGAAATGCATATATGAAAAACATGATTTATTGGTTACGTTTTATGGAACGTTTTATGAGTAAATTAAATTTTACTTTTTATGAGATATCATGCTTTACTGAGAATATTTTGGAATACCATGCTTATCGATTTCATGTTCTTTGTAGTATATATGATGGATGACTATATACTATGAAGATGTTTTGTGATATGATGTTTGAGCTACTGAGCTCTGTTGAGATATATGTACTTATGTTTGGAAAGATTATATACAATGTTTTTGTGCTTATCTAGTGGTCACTATTTTGCCTATGGGCGAATGTCCTACCTTCAGGTGAGTATGATACCACTAATTAGCACACTATATATGATATATGTCTTATGAAAGGTTTTATGGCATGCAATGGTTCTCGGAAAACCTATTACTTATTATGCTATACAAGTTTTCTAAACCTGGGGGTTAGTACGTTAGAGATTAACTGTTTTAGTACTACTTATATATCAACTTGGTCCATTCATGTTTTGTTTTGCACCCCATTGGGACATAGAATCGAGGCGTACAATCCCAGCGTCAAAGCACTCTCGCATGGACACCTTCAAGTCTTCTCGGTGTATGACCTATCTTTTTGTTCGATCAATTTTATATTATTCATTTTTTTAGTGTCTCGAATTAGTTGTATGTTATGAAGACGTTCCACAATTGCATATTCATTATAATTAAGTTTATGAGTTTTATTTATGTAGGTTAATTGTTTTTAGTTTCATGCATCCTAATATGGCTTAGTCGCATCCGGTGTCAGCCAGCATGTGCCTACCCTGGTGTTTGGAGAATATCAGGGTCGGGCATGTCATGACTCCTTGAAGTGAACACCTCTTTGATAAAAATAGAAGCGTACGTGAACCCATTGCCCTCTTGTTCTCCCTCTGAAGCTGCAAACCAGGTGCGGTGAGATAGTGAGAGATGCGACGCAAGATGGTGCAGAGATGTAACGTAGATGCAACGGGATGCAAGTCTGGGAGATGCAGTGATTGTGAGAGATGTGAATGCGAAAGGATGAAGAAAGCCTACAATTCACGACGAAAGTGCAGAATCAACAACGAGATTTCAAAATCATGGACCACCTAGACTGGCCGCTTACCACCGCCTAAACCGCCTAGAAAGCGCCTAGGCGGCCGCCTAAACCCTCCTCGATTTTCATCAACGGTTTGCCCTAAATCGGATCAACCTTTACCGTTTAGCGCCTAGGCGGCTGCCTAGGCCGACTTTTAGAACACTAGGCTCAACCACACAAAAGATCATTTCCATTACCCTTTTTCCACAATTCCTTTCACAAATTTGAATCTCCAACCACAAGACACATCATGAATGATTCACAATTCCTTTCATTTTATCATTCACATGTTCCAAAATATATTCTCAACCAAGAGTAATTCCATAGTAACTAACAGACATCCAACAAAACAATGATGTACACATATCCAAGTAACACTCAACAAGAGTATTCAATCAATGAGATAAAAAAAATATAGAATTCCATGAAATTTAATATAATCAATCTCCGTAAAAGTCTGCCATATTGCTCCTACCTGAACTCCAAAGCATTGCTCCAACTCGTTATTACAAGAGTTCACAACCTTGATAAAATCCTATTCACAAGTATAAGCAAATCACAAGACTCTAACTAATCAAAGTACTTGGGTTACTAATATACCACCACTCAAATCAAATATCAATTTAGTTGAACTATAATACTATACAAAATAGTTTTGTGTATGGTAAACATATTATGTAATTTGTATAAAATAACCTGTACATAAAACCGTTTTACCAACATGCTTATTCATTTATAACTTAAACGATTGAAACGAAATACAGTACTTTCTAGCCACCCATATTACTACACATTAACCAAGTATCCTCACTCTAAGGAACTCAAAACTAATACTACAAGTCAAGTATCAACAACCACTAACATACAAAGTTCTAAGACCATCTCCAACAGATTAGGTCATAGGGCTATAGTCTATGCTATAGCTTGAATTGAGAAAAAACAACCATCTCTAATGGAGGGGCCAACGGAGAAAGGGACCCACTGGGCCAAAGAGAAGCCTGATGGCCATCGGGTTGGACAAATGCAGCCAGCTAGCCAGCCCGTTTCAAGGGCCCAGTTTGCTGCAACCAACAGTCACATGACGTTAGCTGATGTCATGTAGCCGTTGGATTTTGGAATTTTATTTATTTTATTTATTTTTATAAATACCCAAGTATTTTCTACACCATTTCTCATATCATTTTCACCATTCCATACTATCTTACCTCTTCCATCATTTCTACACCATTTCTCACATCATTAAGTTGTTGTACTATAATATTTAAGGTATTGTATTTCAATGAAGTTGTATTAAAATTAAAGGAAAACTAATGAAAAAGGTTTGAAAACTTTGAGTTTTAATGATAATGACAAAATAAAGGGTAAAGTGAATAGTACCAAGATTGACTTTTTAGTGTAAAAATGTGGTTTTTCGTTAAAGTGAACAGTACCAGGTGCTTTTCGTTAAAGTTCCCTAAAATTAAAGCATTTAATAACATTAAATAACATTAAACTTAAACAACATGAAACTTAAAACAACATTTAACAAATAACAACACAATCTCCACCCTAGTCACTTGAAATCATATATGAAAAATTATTGAGATTATATAAAGATAAGAAATCAAGAGACTTATTCATTTAGCGACATGTGACACTCAAAATATATCCGGAAACCTTATTTTAATATGGTAGTTTAATTCAATTAACCAATTAAATTAAAGAACAAACTTAAAAAATAAATTATTGAGGGGCTAAAAAAGAGCTCATTCGGTTGGAAATGATATATAAATATGGTATGACACTATTCATTAGAAACTAATTTTTTGCAGGGTTATAACTTTGACGGGGGCTAAACATAGCCCCTTCGGTTGGAGATGGCCTAAGTACCCAAATTCTAGTTCCATTGTACCAACTTATCCAAATGAGACCACAGCTTTGTCCAAGGTTGTCGAATACCTATGCTCTGATACCATTTTGTCATGCCCCGAACACGAGATCGGCAAAAAAAATTCTGTACAATGAAAGCTGGGTTTGATCCAACGTTATTTCTCATTGCTAATCTAATATATAATCGAAAGATTGTGTCGTAATTCGTTTTTATGCTAAATAAATAAGAAATAAATCGCATAAAAGCTTATTTTAGTCGAGTTATTGCGAAAAAAAACATAAATCACAAGATCAAACTAGAACGTTGAAATGAAAAGAAAACTAGAACGAACCACTTTGAAAATGGTTCGTAGTGATATGGGGCTCTTGAGTCTAAAACCGATTCCTTGGGCTGAATTTGTAGTATGATTATTGCACCGAAACTTTGATTTGGGATGTTACGTCAATTGAGAATCATGCTATGCTAGATGTAGCAAAGCAATAAGATTAAGAGACGATGGAGATCAATTTTGGCAAATGTAAATTCATCTAAACTATATGGAGAAGAGAGAGAGCTTGGGCTCGGAACACAATGAACAAAAGAAGAAAGCACTACCTACCATTAGCAGTTACTAGGAAATTATTAAAAACTCTCTGTATGACCATTTAAGGGGTGAATAACAAACATTTCATATACGATCAAGTCCGACAAAACTTTAATAATAAACATTCAACTTGATGCTTCTATTTGTATTTGGAAATAAAAACACATTAATAAGGTGTGGCAACGACGAAAGTTGCAACATGTCAACAACAAAAAATCCACTCACGTTGATGTTACCAATGCGAGAGATGTCGCATACAACAGAATGCATGTAAGTTTCTCCCGTGATCTTGACGAGAGAAATAACAACGTAGGAAAGAATGTGATAGCCATGAATATTATCTCAGCATCAGAGAATCAGCTACCCACCTGAATCCCCGGTTGAGGAGCTGAAACCGACATTTTTTTCACGTCCCGGGGACACCATTAGATTCGTTGTCAATTTTCGAACTACTTTCATCGATTGTGCCGTTTACATGACCATTACTTTTTGAACCGTAGATGTGCCCCATTTTTGCCCGTTTAGTCTCCAAGTATTTCTGGTTCTCCATAGTTATTGGTGCCAACAATGGGACTCTGCCAGCAATGGCCAAACCATAACCCTTGAGACCAATATATTTTGCAGGATTGTTCGTCATCAGCTTCATTGTTCGAACACCTAGATCTCGTAGTATCTGCGAAAGAATTTAGTCATGAATTTAGATATCAAGACAATCCACCTTACACTATGGGAGATTGTTTCAAGAAACAAGCCTAGGAAAATCTATATGCAAATCTGCCTTAAAAGCATTAGTGTAACAATTATAAATATCAACATATAGTCACAAGAAAGTAATTCAAATAACAATTTGATAACAGTAACCAACTCAAAAGACCTGAAGCAGAAGATTCCCAGCCCCGACGCCAAAACGTTTCCAACATGGTGATGAGAAAGGAACTAGAATGTGATGAAAAAACTACACAGTATTTTATGGATTCACATCTAAATCAAAGTAATTATAGATTTAATGTTCTAGACACTATATAAGGCAATTAAATCCATTGTCCATAAATGAATCCCGATCCTTTGTAGATCCCCAACAACTAGCAAAATTTATTACAATGGGATCGAATCAATTCTGCAATCCGGTCAGCCAAGAAAGGGACAATTTTCTAGTGAATGAAAGGCTCATGTAAGCAACAATTTTAACAATATGTCAATACATCTACAAGAAAAGATATGCAATGCTGAAAATGATGACACAGATGATATGATTTACTGCTAAGAAACCAGTACCTGTGCACCTATGCCATACTCGCGAGAATCAACAGGTAATCCCAGCTCCTCATTGGCTTCAACAGTGTCACGCCCAGCATCCTGCAGTGTATAAGCTCGGAGCTTGTGACCCAAACCAATTCCTCTACCTTCATGTCCACGGAGATACACCAAAACACCCCTACCAGCTGCTTCAATTTGCTTCATTGCAAGTGCAAGCTGGTTTCCACAGTCACATCTGGCTGACCCAAATATGTCACCAGTGAGGCACTCAGAGTGTACCCTCACAAGTATTTCTTGCCCGTCAGCAATTTCACCCTGTACATTTTAAAATCCTGCAAATAGTTACTTACAGGAATAAACATTGATCAACCAAAGAATATTGTTTTACTTTTCATCCAACCCTCACAATTTAGTGTATCTCCCAACTAGTTATATGAAATTGTGATACAGAATACAACCACGCTATGGAAAGATAGTAGGACAAAAATTGTTGTGATATGAATTTATGTAGGAAGGGAGAGAAATTGATGCAGTAGAAAGGAGAGAAAAGAAGATGGGAAAGATGTTGAACAGAAGGATAATGAGAGGCAATTAGGGGGTATGACAACCTGTTTCTTTATTATCACACCAATATGCCAAAGTCTGAAATCCTATTACAATGAGGGCTTTCAGTGAAGGCAATCCCATGAAAACAAAGTACCTTACATGTCCTCATAAAGTATTGAGATAACATGATAAATAAAACCCTAAACTATTAGAAAAACAGGTAGATAAACAGCTACCCACAATTCTAATTCCACAAAATAAAACATTAAATAAAATAAACATAATTTCAAAGCTCTTCCTTATCCCTCAATAAATAAAAACTATATTCTTAAATCCATCATCAAATAGTCTGAAAAGAAACTTAGGATACAGAAACAAGCTAAACATAATTAGGTGGTAGATGGTGGAGGATAGACAATTGCACATCCAGCTAGAAAACTGTGGAGTCTTGAGCAGGAAGACGTAAGTGCAATCTCCCATAGAAAAATATAACCTAAGATTACCTTCCTCTAACTTAGCTTTCAAGTTTCAACCCTTCTGGCAGATCCTTCATTGGATAAAGATAATATCCCTGAAGGGTTCCAGGAGCTGTCAATAAAGAAAACTATAACAGGTATCTATAAGCTAGTTGAATAAAGATAATTACATGACAACAAATGATTCCTTGTAGCATAAAAAACTTTGATCATTGAACAGTTGTAATATCTCAAGTTCATTTGCTCACAACGGATGACTGTTCATGACAAGACACTGCCAATAATATGAAGCAAAGACTTAAAAGCATGAGGTGCAAGCCTCATGATTAATTGATATAAACTTTTCACGTTTAGGGGTATTATCCTAGAGCCACTTGTCGATAATCGATATATCATCTCAAGGGCCTTTCATGTCATCTCTGTCATTTTTCTGAAGTTTTCTTGCTAGATTCATATCTGAGGACTCCCAAATAAGTGATTCCATAAATTCATCCTAAGAAATCAAGTACACAACATCTGGTATATATACTAAAAAAATGAGCTCTAAGAAGTGAGCAAAAATAATATCTACAAAAATAATCGCAGGTAACTAAGTCAACCAAACACCCACAAAGTAGAATGCTAACACCAGGAGAATTCTACAGAACAAAGATGGCAAAACAATCCACTAAGGGAAGAATTCCAACCAACGGCTATTTATGACGGGTGTCGGATAATGAAGGTTAGATAGTTTTAAGGGGAGAATACTCTATGTCAATGATTTGCTTACTTTAACCATAGCAATGTGCTCAATCCCATCGAGCAATGATTTATAACAGTAGGCTTCAAATGGCCCCCACATTGTGGGTATGCGTGCAACTCCAGCCCTCTCCACCAACTTATCTCTTTTCCTTCTATATCTGAAAGTTACAATTCACAGACATCGTAATTCGAATTTCTTACACTAAATCTGAAGAACATGACAAAAATCAACATTTAATATTTACTTGTCCTAACAGAAGTATACCAAGAAGTAACAATAACATTAATTCATTACTTCACAAAAAAGTTAGCCTTTTGAAGAAAAGGAAAGAAAAGAGGGCAAGGTTTTTGGACAGCCCTTAAACCATTCTTAGCTGAATGAAAGAAATAGAAGTTATAATTATTTAAAGTATATATAAGCTGTCAAATAAACATTCTTCACTCACTCATAGATGCTAACTTGAGGATTGCAGAATGACCCAAAAAAATATGTAATAACCTTTATTCAGTTAATGAAACAGTTGTGTGTAGTCATCTTTGAACTAGTCAAGTATTAAGGATTTATTTGGTAACTACAGCTAGTACACTTTGAACTCATAATGTCCAGACACAATCATTCAGAGTACCTTATCAAATCAGCAATGGAAACAATTTTCAAGTTTTCTGCCCTTGCAAATTCAAGAAGCTTTGGTAACCTAGCCATAGAACCGTCATCATCCACAATTTCACATAAAACTGCTACTGGATCCAGCCCAGCCAACATAGCAAGATCAACTGAAGCTTCAGTGTGACCGGCTCTTTTTAGAACTCCTCCCTCTCTGTACTTTAGGGGAAAGATATGTCCTGGGCGGTTGAAATCTTCAGGTGTTGAATCTCTTGATGCAAGAGCCAAGACTGTTGCAGCTCTATCACGAGCAGAAACACCAGTTGTCGTACCACGTTTTGCATCCTATGGAGTCCAATACATTGGGGTCATCTACATAAGAGTTAATATAATTCACAAAACAGGTATATAATCAATAAAGTAATAGTTTACACTTTTACTACCCAATCCTAAGACAAAGACAAGGTTGGCAATACCAATTCTAGTCAGCTCCACTGTCCCTAAAAAATATTGAGTCAAAATCCAGCTACGTATATACAATATCCTTTTCACTCTTTCCCCAGCCATTGAGAGATCCAACAACCTCGGATGCAGTTACTGACCAGAATTGTAAAATACATGGAACAAGAAACCTGTGATCCTGATAAGGTCATTGTTCCTCTCCTAATCGCACATCTCAATATGCATAATTGGGTTTAATTTAATGGAAAGTTTAACTACATACCACTGAGACAGTGAATGCCGTACAAAGTTTTTCTTCATTCTGTGTCACCATAAGTGGAAGTTGCAACCTCTCCAAGTCTTCTCCTTTCATGCTCACACAAACAATCCCAGTTCCGTGCTTGACAATAAATGCCATAGCTTCTGGTGTTGCCAAGGAAGCTGCCATTATAAGATCTCCCTCATTTTCTCTATCTTCATCATCTACAACGATAACCATCTGCAATATTTTCTCGAATTAATGATCTGCTATATTATCCACCTCCAGAAAAATTAAGCACAAGAAAAAAAAAGAGTAAATTTATTCCTTAATTTTCCAACAGAAATAAATGCGAAAATGGCCAACCTTGCCTTGACGTATATCTTCAATGGCCTCTGGAATGGAAGAAAATCCATGTATAGGGTGATCTAGATCACCTTCATCATTTTCAGAAGAGAACCCACTAAACGTTGGGGTTGTTTCTGCTGAAACTGTTCCGAAACCTAATGCATCAGGTTGTATTTCACTCCCAGTTGGGTTGCCATTTGGGTAAGACAGGAGACCATCTTCTCCCAGCAAAGCTCTTGCCTTAATTGATCCCTTGGAATGAAAGAACAATTTCCATGATACACTCGGTGTGACAAAACCGGATAATCGCCCATTTGCTGCAAGCGAAGTCCCAGGATATAGAATAGTGTGCCCTCTGAAGATAAAATTAATTAGACATGTATACATAAACCAAGGGGGAAGGGTCTACAATTTCAGAACGAACCTAGCATAGGAGAAGAGTTTCTCAATTGTGCAAACAGCATTTTTGATAAACCGTGTTTACCTGCTAACCTTAAATCACATATAAATTTATTAATTAGGTCATAAAACCCATAGTTCTTAACCAAAATCGTTGAGGGGTAAGTATAGTTTACCCTCACTTTCATATATTTCTATTCTTTTACCCTCTAGAAAATAGATCTTTCTTATCCATCCCGAACTCAGACACTTGTCTTTTTTATAGTTTACCTTCATTATCATACTTGCTATTCTAATTACACTCCAGAAATCTTCACTGACAGCTAGTTTTTCAGCGTTTCGACTCAAATTAACCAGTTGGCCCAATTACAAAAGTTATTCCACACGACCTTCTCTACGTACCTACGCATTTTATTAGGCCGCTAATCAACACTTGAGCGCCCAGATTTCAAATCTGGGACCGAAAGATAAATGGAAAATTTTAGGGGGTGCATGGATAAAAAAATGTTCATAATAGTGGGGTTTTAATATTTCCCTAAATTCTAAATCCCAATTCAGGGTTACAAAACTAAGAATTTCTGAACTAAACAATGAATTTCCAATTTCCATTAAGCACCTTGATCAGTGTAATGTCAATTCATCTCTCCCATATGAAGATTTGAACATTAAACAGACATTACATACAATGCCCCTATTCTGAAACACGAAAAACCTCCATAATCTTCATCAATTTCAGGATTCACATTTCAGATCACTGTAATTATTCAAATCAAATTACGAAGAGAGAGAGAGGCTTACGGAGAAGGGGAAAGAGCCGTTGAGGAGCAATAGGGGTTGATGGAAGCCATTGGAAGCCTGGAGGTGGAGCTGCTGCTTTCAGGTTTTCAGCTCAGCTGTGTTCCGTGAGAGAGAGAGAGAGAGAAAGGGCGAGAGAAAGAGAAAGAGAAGTCAGAGACTTTGAGGTGGTTGCGCCGGTCGGTTAACGAAAGCCACCGCAAAGCAATTGCAGAGAAACGAAACGGAATGATTCAATTCAACGATGCATATCCGGTATTTTCAACAACAACAAAAAGACGGTTCATATCCAGTGGACATTCAATATGACGTCAGCCTTATCCCGCCACCATAGTTTGTGTTAGGAAAGGCACCTTCGTTTTCGTTTTGCCAAAAAAAAAAAAAACCAAAGAATAATACTTCGTTATTCAAAGGATTTAATAAGAATCTTACTTAAAATTGTTTGTTGACGATCTATAGAATTTTGTATTTATAATTATAATCGTTTATATTATAAATTATTTTATAAAGATTATATTTTGCAGAAAAAAATTAATTAAAACTAAAGTTGTTTAATCATCGAACTGTATAAAAACAGGTGAACGAAATTGGTAAAAGTATTACGAACCGTCTTTGTATTTGTTACAATAGATTGACTAAACAACTTTAGTTTTAATTCATATTTTACCGAGATGATCTTTATTGAGCGATTTATAATATGAACGGTTTTAATCATAAGCAAACATTTATAATTCGAACATGAAGAGTTTTGAGTAAAAGTTACTACATATCTGTAAGTAGCCAAGCATGTTCAAAAACAAAAGCATGCATACAAGGTTATATTAGAATATTCCAAAAAAGAAAAGTTCAAATTATTTCTACATTGAACTTAAATTTTAAATGTGAATTGTCTTTTACTCTATTGCATAATTACCATCAAGTGGAAACAGAGTGTTGTATTGATTCAATGGTGCTATCATCATAACAGGTGACCTATCATCATGATCTATGTCAAGGTTTTCTTGGTCCATACGAGTGTTCATGTTATGATGTTCTATTTGATTATGTTCAATGAAGCACCCAATGATCGTGGAGGGATAGGATTCTTAAACTTTTAGAAACAGATCAAACAAAATGCCTGAATTTGTCCACTTTGGTGAGCATGATGTTTTACTAAAGTTTCAATAGGAAAAACAATTGGCTGGTCCTAATGGACATTAGAAGAATTTTAGCTATAGCACACCCTTTCCATTGGTGTGGCTTTAAGATGAAAGAGCACTGACAGTAGCCATCATGCAGCCACTGAATAAGAATCCATGTCCCATGTAAACATCTCCATTGTAACAAACGCCACTATTTCTACAATCAAGTCCTCCAAAGACAAACTTGCAATCAAGTCCTACAATTTCATAGTATACTTCCCTCCATCTTCCATCGGTAGTGTTGTTGAACAACCTGGGCAAAATTATAAATTAAAAATAATAAAAACTTGTAAGATAATATCACTTAATCATACTAAATTTAAAATAGTATAAAAACAACTAAATCTACCTCTATAAGAACTTCATAGTTCATATCTAAATAAATCACTTAAGATCCGATTGTTAAATCATCTTCTGCACTTCTTTCTTTCTGTCAAAAAAGTTAACAACGCAACAAAACCACAAATAAACATCATAATTTACTTAAAAAGCAACGAAAAATTAAATTTTTAGTCAGAATGAAAAAATAAAAGGAAAATGATTATAGCGAAAACGGAATAGTTATGCCTCTCTGTGCATCCTCCTCAATGCCAAACCTTTTTGTACTCAACACTTTTCACTGCAGAACAACGATCCATCGTACGAATTAACAAAAAATTGCATGCAGAGGAGACCCAGGCGAGATCTGAAAATATACATTCAGATTGTAGAAGATATGAACTCAAAGTGGGAAAAAACTCAAACCTGATCTGATACAAAGAGAGGAGAGAGAGGGGGAGAGAGAGACCATGATGCATGCAGTGTTGGCGATGGTGGGTAACTGATCGAAATATGGAAATGATGGGGTTGAAAGAAAGGAGCTTCAAGGTTGAGATTGAGGTTTGAAAAGAAAGTTAAAAACCCAAGGAAAAAAACAAAACATAATAGAAAAGCCGGCGATGGCTTGGGCCAACTCTCAAAACAGCAAACTGAATGAAAGCAAAATCGGATCTGAAATTGAGGAAAAGGAAAGAGCTCTCACAAAGAGAGAGAGAGAGAGAGAAGCTCCCACAAAGGGAGAGAAGAGCTCTCACAAACGGGAGAGAAAAACTCTCACCAACTCCTTTGTAATCCAAAATAAAACAAAGGGGATAGAGAACTTTATCTCTGAAGGAAAAACACAAGAGGAAGAGGAAAAAATTAAGAGAGATGTGACGGTGAAAACAAAGAGAGAGAGGAAAGTGAAAGTAGGAGAGAGAGGGGGGGAAACATAGGAGAAAAGGAAAATGAAGATAGAGTGTGAGGTGATTAGATTTTGGCACAATATAATAACAATTAAAAAACTTAATAATTATTATTTTGACATTAAAAGAATCTAATAATTATTATTTTGCATGTATAAAGCAAAATAAAGAATTTATAGGTTATAAATTTGAAAAATGACACTATCATCAGTTGCTAACAAAGCTGCGCATCTATTGGCGTTGTGGCGAAGTAGGGAAATATGCAATGTGGTTTGGTTGGACAGACCTCCATCTTCCCTAGTTCATGTTCTCTGTAATGATGGTATTCGTTGTCCACACTAGGTTTGTTTATGGGTAGTGTGAGGAGTGACGTTTTGCATTAGGTGCGGCGTCGTTCTCCCTGTAACTCCTTCCACTACCTAGTTTATGCTGCCTCTTTGTAGGCTTTCTTGTTTCCCTTTGGCATCTTTGCCCATATTAATATAATCCTGTGTTACCAAAAAACAAAAAAAAAAAACAAAAAGCCCAAACATACACAATGGTGAAACCAACTCTCAAAAAGATACTGATAGTGAATGGTGTCCCCAAAACGGTGTCCTATGGCCTGTTTTCTAGTAGTGGCATCTTATACCACTGAACAAATTGCATATACTTCAGCGAAGCAGTCAATATATAGTCATTCAATTAGAACAATATTGAATTGAGCATGAGAAACATGAGAAACAATTGGCTACTGTTAGGATATAAGTATATGATGTGTGTGTGTGTGGAGGATATAGCCATGTGTCAAAAATGTATTGGAGACTCTTGGAGTTAGTTAAGAATTTGTTGTATTTATAAGACAGGTAGATCACAATTGAATGTAATGTGAAAAAAACTGAAATTTTCCCTCCTTTCTCTTTTTTCCTCTTTTCTCTCTCTCTCTCTCTGTTTGGTTGTCTCTTCAATATTTTTCCACCATTGTTGCTGCACAATTACATACAATTACATTGTTGACATGGTATCATCGCCGGTAATGGCTGACGCTGTCGCCTGACGATCCCGTTGCTTCCGTTTTTCGTCGCTCTTCCGGTAGTGTTGGTTGCTTGATGTCGGTTGTCTTCTCGTTGCAGTCAGTTGCCTACTCAAACCCTAGATTTTTGGGGCTTCTTGGATACTGGTGCACTTCGTCGTTTTGGTTAAAGGTATCAGTTGCGTTTCTTGATTTCTTGCTTATATTTGTGAATCTTGGTGTGGATTGCAGTGTTGCTTGGTTACTTCGACTTGTTGATTGTTGATTTGTCGAAGATTGTTGGTGGAGTTGTTCATTTCTTGAGGATTGATGATTTCTTACTTCTGTTTGTGAATATTGATGTTGATTGCGGTGTTGATTGTTTCCTTCGCATAGTTGATTGTTGATTTGTCGAAGATTGTTGATCGTTTTGCGTTCTTACGGTTCTTGCACAAATTGTTCATTGGTGATTAATCATGGTAACGACTGCACAGTTAGCCCTTACTCAATCTCCTATTTCCTCCCTCATACCAAGTGTTGGAAATACGGTTACGGTCAAGTTAGATGATTCTAACTATGTTACCTGGAATTTCCAAATTGAATTGCTCTTGGAGGGCAATGGCATTATGGGGTTTCTTGATGATTTTATTCCCTGTCTTGCACAATATAATGCAATTGAGACAGCTACTAGTACTGTTTTTGATAACTCATCTGTAACTGATGTTTACAAAGTTTGGAAAATTCATGATCGAGCCTTGATGACTCTCATTACTGCAACTTTGTCACCTGCTGCACTATCATGTGTTATCGGTTGTCAAAGTGCCAAGGAAATGTGGGTTAACTTGAAAGAAAGATTCTGTAGCATGACTAGAACGAGTATTGTACAGCTGAAGATTGATTTACAGAACATTAAGAAAAGGGCTGAATCCATTGATCTTTATCTTCAAATGATCAAAGATAGCAGAAATCAGTTAGCTGCAGTTGGTGTAAACATGTCTGATGAAGACATTGTTATTGTTGCTCTTAGAGGCTTACCACCTGAGTATAATATTATAAAGGTTGTTATTCGAGGGAGAGAAAACCTTGTTTCTTTGAAGGAACTCAGGTCACAGTTAAAAGCTGAATAAGCAACACTTGAAGAGGGATTTAAACAGCCACTGATGACTGCAATGTATGCCAATCATTCAGGCTCTATGTATGAGTCCGGTGGGATATCGCATAAAATCTTTCTCTGGCTTTTTTTCGAATAACTCTCCATCTTATCAATATCTCCCCGATTCTCAAATGATGCACGGTGCTCAACTGCCGCAGTTGGTTCAGATGCCTAATATGGTTCAAATGGGTCAAGTACCTCAGCCTACACAATTTTAGTAGTTGCCTATTCCAGGACCATATGCCTTTGTTTCACAAATAGGATCTGGAACTTACAACAATTTCCAAGGGAATAATTTCCGGTTTAAAGGCAAGGGCAAAAAGTTTAATGCTGGATTTCAGGGTTCTACTTCCATAAATGTTCAATCTCAAGCTAATTTTCAAAATCTTAGTCCTCAATCATCATCAATGCAACCTTATAATCTTATGTTAATCTGTCAGATTTGTGACAAAAAGGGTAATTCTACACTTCATTGCTTTCAGTGTGGTTGTCAAATATGCAATCAAGTTGGTCATACTGCAGCCACATGTTTTGATAGGGGAAATCCACCAA